CTCTCCATCCACCCAGCCCTACCTAGCTATCTCCATCCACCCAGCCCTACCTAGCTCTCTCTATCCACCCAACCCTACCTAGCTATCTCCATCCACCCAGCCATACCCAGCTATCTCCATCCACCCAGCCATACCCAGCTATCTCCATCCACCCACCCAGCCCTACCTAGCTATCGCCATCCACCCAGCCATACCTAGCTATCTCCATCCACCCAGCCCTACCTAGCTATCTCCATCCACCCAGCCCTACCTAGCTATCTCCATCCACCCAGCCCTACCTAGCTCTCTCTATCCACCCAACCCTACCTAGCTATCTCCATCCACCCAACCCTACCTAGCTCTCTCTGCCCCCCCCCAGCCCTACCTAGCTATCTCCATCCACCCAGCCCTACCTATCTCTCCCTACCCACCCAGCCCTACCTATCTCTCCCTACCCACCCAGCCCTACCTATCTCTCCCTACCCACCCAGCCCTACCTTGCTTCCTCTACCCAGCCCTTTCTAGCTTACTTCACCCAGCCCAACTTAGCTCTCTCCACCTAGCCCTACCTAGCTCTCTCCACCTAGCCCTACCTAGCTCTCTCCATCCACCCAACCCTACCTAGCTCTCTCTGCCCACCCAGCCCTACCTAGCTATCTCCATCCACCCAGCCCTACCTAGCTCTCCCTACCCACCCAGCCCTACCTAGCTATCTCCATCCACCCAGCCCTACCTAGCTCTCCCTACCCACCTAGCCCTACCTAGCTATCTCCATCCACCCAACCCTACCTAGCTCTCTCTGCCCACCCAGCCCTACCTAGCTATCTCCATCCACCCAGCCCTACCTAGCTCTCCCTACCCACCCAGCCCTACATTTGTACCTTGCTTCCTCTACCCAGCCCTTTCTAGCTTACTTCACCCAGCCCAACCTAGCTCTCTCCACCTAGCCCTACCTAGCTCTCTCCACCTAGCCCTACCTAGCTCTCTCCACCTAGCCCAACCTAGCTCTCTCCACCTAGCCCAACCTAGCTCTCTCCACCTAGCCCTACCTAGCTCTCTCCACCTAGCCCTACCTAGCTCTCTCCACCTAGCCCTACCTAGATTTCTCCACCTAGCCCTACCTAGCTTTTCTAACCCAGTCTTTAACCAGTTTTAATCAAAACTGTCAAAATCACCCAAAATCGTGCCAGATTACAGATTACGAATTATTCCAACAAAATGTGCGCCCTCCTGACAGCACATGGAGATAAAAACCTTTTTTTAATGCTGCACCATACAATTGCAGTACCAGAATGGTTATTAACTTAGGATCACAAAAGGAGTTATCTTACGTACAATCCACCCTCCAAAACAAATCAGAAAAAATGTATTTGTTTACTTCTATCTTACCTGTTGCCCGATTCTACATACTTTTTTGGTTGGTTTTACATATTTTGTCGAAGCCGAAGATGTGTTGTTTTGAAAGAGGGTGTAATGTCTACTTTTTTTTCGTTGACATAATAGAGATTGTTTTGTTTAATGCCTTTAGATGTTGTGACTACCTCTGCTCCATCTACAAGTTATCCCTCCTCCTGCAATACATGGCAGTTCAGTTGTTTAAATGGTAACTGTGTTAGCTATTGGTGGAAGTGTGATGGTGTCAATGACTGTGGTGACTATTCAGATGAATATGACTGTGGTCCTGGTAAGCATAATATAATACTTTTTTATATACATTGTGTATATTCACAAGAATTTGAGGTATTTATGACAATCATGAAGACTTGTTTTTGCAAAAATCTCTGCTACATTTTGTCATACAGAAATTTTTCACAATTTTGAATCTCATACTGTTAAACCATTAAATATTTGCTTTTTTTATTTCATGATTTTCACAAATATGTAACCATTTCACAATTTTAAATCGCCCCAAATTAAAACAGTTTACAGTGACAAATATTCAAGTGCAAATGCAATTGTGTCACTTTCTAATGCCATCCATGTCATTACAGATGCCATATATGTAAAGAAAACGAACTTTGAAAGGTTCGAATGCGTGATTTTATGCCACAGTCCTGGCGCGTTTCAACCGTTGGGATATTTTACTATAATAGGGTGTGTCTACATCGCGCATTAAAATTTGCATATAACATTAGCGCGTAACAAAGATTGAGATAAAGGAAAGAGTGGTATAAACAAAGACCAGTGATTACTTGAAATCGATACCGTGGGGAGGGGGGTAAAAGAAAAGTTTTATAACATTTTATTTATACTTATAATTCGGTCTCTGTGCGTCTGTGCGTTCGTCCGGAATCATATCTCAGAATCCCTTGGACCGATTCCGTGCATTCTTTGCATATGCCTAATACTTTATGTGGGACATATGCACATGCAGTGGTTTAGCGATTGGATTCAAAATGGCCGACTGGCAGCCATCTTATTTTTTGAAAATGTTGTATTTTGGACATGCTTTATCAGTTTTCATTCAAACTTAGTACATAGATTAAACATGTTAGGATACATGTTCATGATGGTTTATTTCACAATTGGATCAAAGATGGCCGACTGGCAGCCATCTTGTGTTTTGAAAATGTTGTATTTTGGACATGCTTTATCAGTTTTCATTCAAATTTAGTACATAGATCATACATGCCCCCACCGTCCGTGAGTTCCTGAGTCTGTCCATCCGTCCATGTGTCCGTCTGTCCCTCAGTCTGTCCAGAGTTATAGTTAAGAATCCTGTAGACCGATTCCGTTCATTCTTTGCATGTGCCTAATACCTTACGTGGGACATATGCACATGCAATGGTTTAGCAATTTGATTTAAAATGGCCGACTGGCAGCCATCTTGTTTTTTGAAAATGTTGTATTTTGGACATGCTTTGTCAGTTGTCATACAAACTTGGTACATAGATTATACATGTTAGGATACATGTCCATGACGATTTATTTCGCAATTGGTTTAAAGATGATCGACTGGCTGGCATTTTTTTTTTTTTTTTATGCGGTATTTTGGACGTGCTCTGTCAGTTTTCATTCAAATTTGGCACATACATGTACTTTATATATGTTAGGATGCATGTCCATGACAATTTGTTTCAAAATCTGGTCAAGGATGGCCGATTGACAGCCATCTGACTTTTTGGCCTTACTACTATATTTCCACAATTTATGTACCATTTTCATTCGTATTTGGCACATACATGTACATCATACATATCAGTGTGTTTCAAAATCAGATCAAAGATGGCCGAATAACGGCTGTTTTTTTTTTTTTTTTGGCCATATTACTACTATACGGAACACGTGTTTTGATGTAAATAAACAATCTGTTGTATACGCCACTTGCAACTCAAGTTTCAAGGCCACGTTTGCGACAACCCCTCTGCTTTAATATGACGAGCACAAAGAGAACTTAATTTAACGGGGACTGTGTCATTTTCAATGACTTGTTATTTAATAACTTATTAAAATACATAGGTTTGTCCAACTCCCTGTGACTTCTTGTTAAACACCGTAAGTCTGATTGCTTTGATATTGCATATAAAGCTACTACATGTGGACCTATCTCAGATTTGTTCATTTAATGACGATATCTTTTATTCTCTAATTTTGGTGAATATTTTTGGAATTTTTGGTAAAAAGTGATATTTTCGACTTCTTGTTAAAAACCGCAAGTCTGATTGCTTCGATATTACATAATTAGGTACTACATGTGAACCTCTCTCAGATTTGCTCATTGCGTGATGATATCTTTAATTCTCTAATTTTTATGAATATTGTGACATTTATGCCAGTGATGTACCGGTGTTTATTTTTAGTAATCCTTAATCCTTTATTTTTTTGTTCAGTGACGAATGAGACATCAACCACCACAAAATCATATACCCAATACTACACCTGTTCACCGTATGAATTTGAGTGTGGCCCCCTTGCTACTACCCGGTGTATTCCAAGCTACTGGGTGTGTGACGGAGATAACGACTGTGGAGATTACAGTGATGAAAACGCTTGTCCAAGTAAGTACAACTATTCCTTAACCTTTTCACTACCAGTTTCCTCTTTTTCATGAATATTTTTGTGGAAAACCATGTTAAATAAATCATTATTGCATAAAAACAAAATAACGTTAATTAATTACTGTGTTACAGTTTTGAAAATTAGTTCAAAACCACAAAGTCATGTACAATTTATACTGTGAGTATCTATAGTAATCTATAGTAGCTTTTGATATAAGTAGTGAGCATTACATTTCAATGAAACTTGGTACTTACATACTCAAGGACTATGCAGAGATTGATTGTTTTGGATAAATATTTGTGCATATTAATCACCTAATTTGCATAATTAGTTAATTTTCAGCTTTTCCACGGGCATCTCAAGTACTAATCATCGCATTTCAATGAAACTTGGTACATAGATCCTTTAGGACTGTGCAGAGACCTGATTAGTTTCAGGGTAAATAATTGTGCATATTAATTACCTAATTTGCATAATTAATTTTCAGCTTTTCTACTGATATCTAAAGTACTAATCATCACATTTCAATGAATCTAGAATTATGCAGAGACCCAATTAGTTTTTGGTAAATATTTGTGCATATTAATCACCTAATTTGCATAATTAACCAATTTCCAACTTTCACACTGATATCTCAGGTACTATTCATCACATATCAATGAATGTTTATACATGGATGCTGTAGGACAATAGACAGACCTGGATAATTGTG